TAGTATATAGATTATAAGTCTTAGATTTAAAAATTAACACAAGAAAATCAATATTTAGAAATGTCATTAAAAAATAAAGATATACTATTACTAAATTTACTTTAAGTTAAAAATTAATATGAGTTATAAGAAGCCAAAATATAGGAATTAACACAAATTTTAATATAAAATAACATAAATATTGTATAAGATGACGTTCAATTAAATTAAGCTTTTTATGAAAGAAGTTAGTTGTTATCAAATTTAAATAAAATTTAAAAATAAAATTAAGTTTTATAAACATAAAATTAAGAACTAAAAAAATCGTAAAATAAAAAATAATATTAATTTTTAATTTTTAATTTTATATATATATATATATATATATATATATATATATATATATATATATATATAATAAGAATTTAAATATTTTATGAATCTTAATAGAAATTTGAAAATAAATTAGAAATAGAAATATAAAATAATAATTTTTTGAAAAAACTTGAAGAATTAGACAAAGAAGATTAAATTAAAAATTTTATAAATTAAATAAATACATTAAATTAATAAATTATAGAATTAAAATCCTTAAATTAAGATAATATTATATAATAAGACATTATTTTATAATAGAATAGTATTGCAAGTAATTTAGAATAGGAATTTGAAGACTAAATTAAATAATAACAAGAAAATTATAAAATAAGTATGATTTAGGCTAAATCCTCATTATTAGAAGAGAAAATTAAAAGTGAAAATGAAAAAGAATTTATTAATTAAAAATTATTTAATTTAGAATAATAAAATGAATAATTATACATATAAAATGATTCATTAAATAATGAAAATTAAAGCTTTAAATCTACATATAAAATCATAGAAAAATAATTAAAAGAGTATTATTATTATATTTTATTTTATTTTTACTTTTATTTAATAATAAATAGAGCTATTAAAGAAAGAGATAGTTTAAAAAAATATTAATTTGAAGTTTAAGAACAATAGAAAAAAATATATGAATTGGAAAAAATAATAACTATCTATGATTAATAATTAAAGTAAATAAATAAAGAAAAATAAGCATTTGAAGAAAAATATTAATTAATTTAAAATTCTTACAACTAAATATAAATTGAACTTAATAATAATATATAAGATAAATAGAAAAATAATGATAATTTTGATTAAAATATTTAAATTGAATTAGATAATTAAATCATAAAAAACTAACAAATTTAAGAATAAAATTAAAAATATTAAAATGAGAATAATATATTAAAAAATACTTGCAAAAATATTGAAAAATGCATAAAAGTTACAAAGAAAATATTCAAAAAAGAAAAAAAATAAAATAATAACTGATAATTTATTTATATTAATTATAATTTATTTATTAATGGATGTTTTTTGTATGTATATTAAATATATTACTTTTTTTAATGTTTTTTATAATTTATATAAATTTATTTGAAACAAAAAAATTAAAATGATAATTGGTTTATTGCTTTATTAATAGAGTTTTAAAATACAAATTGCACATAAAAAAAATCAATTTTACATATAAATTCTGCTTTATTGTTTTTTTTTAATCTCAATTCAATTTTAAAAATAAAATAAAAAAGAAGAAAAATAATTAATTTTGTCTTTGTATTTAATTGAGTTCTTAAATAAAATTTAAAAATAAATAAATAAAAACATAAAAAAATTAATATATATATTTAAAATTAAAAATTATTATTTTTTATGATAAACTTACGAGTTTTATGTATCATTTTTTATTATATTTTTTATATTTTTTTAATTTTTTATTTTTAAATTATTAAAAGTAAAATTAATTAAAACAAAATATATTTTTTACTTAAAAATAAATATCAAAATTAATATAAATAATTACATATATATTCATATAAAAATCATTATTATTTTAAATGAGAAATTATTCCCAAGATTATAGCTCGCTAGATAATATTTTAATCTAACAAAATCAACGTTTTTCATTCTTAAGTTTAACACCTTAAAAATCCCAATAATCATTTAAAACTGCTGACAATATTAATAACAATAAAACAAACGCAAAAAAGCGATATAAAGCATAAAACTTCAAAAACCATAAAAGCTTAAACATGATGAATCCAATTGAAATACAAATGAAAGAATATATAAATGCCAACAATAAGTAATTAACATAATTAACCTAAAACCTCTCTATAGTAATTGAATCTTCGTAAAGCATAGAAGAATATGATACAATCCCTTTAAAATTTGGAAACATTATATCAATATCACAATACGGGGAAGATTAAAAATTTATAATATGTGATGGATTCATAAAACAAACGGCATATATGCAAAACTTACTTAGTACAAACGGATAAAGATTCGACAGATCATTATTTAGAATTTTGCCTTCTTTTATTTCTTCATAATAGTAGGAATTTTTAAACAATCTGAAGCAATAAGGGGAAGAAGAAAAATAAATAAATAGAGAATTTTAAGACTAAATTATAAAGGAATATAAACATAATATAAATTTATATGAAAAAGTAATAGGCAAAGAAGTATAGTACAATTAGGAAGTTTAATTATTACATTTAGCCTCAAATTAATTTCTAGTATGTAATTTTATTGAATCTGAAACGGAAAGATCAAATTATAAAATTGAATTATAATAATTTTCTACAAAATTTACATAGTTTAAATTTATAAGAATTGTTGAAAATTCCAAAAATAATATTTAATAGTATAAAATATATATATATATTTATATATATATTTATATATTTATATATATATATATTTATATATATATATTTATATACATATATTTATTTATTTTATATAAATAAAATTTTTATTTAGAAATATTTATTTGAATGATCATTTATATATTGTATGTTCAATTAATCATTTAGGTAGAATTCCTTATATGCATATATCATAGAATATTTCAAGTAAAAAATATTCACTATAATAATAATTAGGAGATGATGGATTTCCAATATTATTAAAATTGCCATCAAAATAATAAAATTTACTATACAATAGTCAATAAAATATTAATTTTTATTAAAATGAAGAAAAAAAAATTGGAATAAATATTAATATTGGAAGTAATCAAGTAAAAATTTCTTATATATATATATAAATAAAAAATTTTATATATTTAAAATAGGAATAATAAAATAATAGCAACTAATTAATATATTTATAAAGTCCTATTTAAAGGAAAAGAAATTAATAATAATGTAATTAAATTGAAAATTAATAATAATAATAATAATAATTATAATAATTATAATAATAATAATAAATAATAATAATAATAATAATAATAATAATAATAATAATAATAATTATAATAATAATTATAATAACAGTAATTTTATTTAAAATAAGAACTTAACGTTTCTTTAGAAACAAAATCTAAATTGAAAATAAACCGATTTTCAAATTATATTTAAGATGATAATTATTTATAATTCGGAGATGTAATTTGGCTTTAAAATATTTAATATGGAAGTATTTTAATAGTATGTAAATCAGACGACAATTATCAAGTATAAATAGAAAGAATGGTCTAAAAAGATTAATAATTTAACAAATTCGAAGGAAATACAAACGGAATGTGGGTCGTCGAAAATGCAAAATATCAAAAAGGCGGTATGGTTAAATGGAACGATAAGTTTTATTTAAGAAACTTTTCTTGTCATAAATATTTATGTTTATTCAAGAATTCTTAAAATGTATTACATTTTTATTTAAGCCAATTTTCTGATTAAGCTTTTTTATTTTAATTTACACAGCTTTTATTTTAATAATAATCCCATATTAATAAAGATTCTACTTTTTATATTTTATCGAATTTTCATAAAGGATGGATTCATTTAAAATAATCAGAAGAGGAAAATTAAGAACTTAATAATAATGAATAAGAAGATGAAATTAAGGAGTAATTTCAAAAAGTTTTTGTTGAAATTCGACAGCCTGCCGAAGATGACGCTTTTAAATTTTACAAAGCGACCCAAAGTGAAATATATGAGGCTAGTTTTTTAATTTCGACCTACATAATAATAGTTTCTGGAATTAAATTTTTATAATAAAAGAAGATTTTATATTAATAATTAAATGTCAATTAAATTTTAAGAATGTAAAAAAAATTAAAAACAATTAAAGTTTGTCTTTAGGACTTAGAAAAATTCTGTACGAATAAACTAATAAATAATATAAACTCGGAATGTGTATATGGAAAAATTAACCCTGGAAGATAAAAGTTATTAAGAGAGTAATATTTTATTGATATTTTGTGTGATTTTCTCAGTGAATTAATGTAAGAAAGTGAACTTAAATAACTACAGAAAATACTTAGGAACGAAAAAAGGATTATCTTTTTAAAAAAAATTAAATTAATATTAAAAAGAAACCGAAATATATCTCTTAAATGTATCGAAATTTAATTAAAATAAGAACAGAATCTTCCAAAACTCCAATAAGATATTCTAAAATAAAAACACGAAATTTTAAAAATAGGCTATCTTTTATTATCACAAATGTGTTCCGAAAACAGTGAAAATTAGCGTTATTTTTACTCTAAGAAAATAAATATATTATAAAAACATATAAAATATTCTCCTGAAGCCCTATTTTCTATTAAAACCATAATTTTGAAAAACGAACATATAATCCACAATATTTGCTAAGATATTCATTTCGCTGATAAATAATTTAGAAATCATAATCAAAAATAATTATAAAGTCTTGTTTTTTTTAATAATCCGGTTTTTTGTAATGAGATAAACGACTCGAATTTTCTCGTTTATATTATAAACCTTCTGAACTCCAAAAATATTAAAAAATACAAAAAAAAATTACATTTTTTAGATTTCTTCTAACACTTATGTTCTTATAATAATAAAGGAATTCAAGTAAATTAAGATATGATATATAAATTGGCAGAAAACGCAAAAAACTTCAAACAAAATATATTCCTGAAAATAAAAACAACAAAATATAATTAATTTATAGAATAAATAGAAGAAGAGTAAAAAGATCAAAAAAAACAACAAAATAATAAAATAAAAGAAGAAGAAAAAAAAGAAGAATAACCAATAATATTAAATCATTAATATTTTCCTAAATACCTCAAAACCCTCCCCAAAGACCTCCTATATATAATAAATGAGATAAAATTATATAAAAACCTTTCTCTTTCCCGAAATTAAAATTGGACTAAAAAACTTTAATAAGAATTCCTTTTCGAAGATTTAACCCGTTTAATATTCGACCATAGGTTACATTTAGAACTACGATCTGCCCTTTGTGGCTTAATTCTGACTTTATATGTAGACTAGGAGCCTTTAAAAACTCAAAAAATTCCTTAAATATGTAGAGTTTATAAGTCCAAATTTTCCCGAAATTCCAAAAAAAAGAGTCGCAATGTAACCCAAATATGTAAGGAAAATCTTTCTTAATTTTAATATTTGATTTTAGATTGCTTATCACATATAGAAACTTTTTTGGTATAAAATTCACCAAAATGTATATCTCCTCAAAAGTCATAAAAATAAATGGCTTTAAAAAGAACATAAACTATTTTAGCAGATGATAAAAAAGAAAATATACTGAAAAATGTATTAAATAAAACATTATTTCATTAATAGTTTGCCTTGTATAGTTCAATGTATTACATTAAACTAATCTATATAATTCTATTTTATGTACTTTTTAGACTCTTTTAGAATATGATCATATGAATTATGATTTGACAGAGTTCTTGATTAATAAAAGAAATAAAAATTTTATTTTTAAAAAAAGAAACAAATCACTTATTTAATAATTTAATTAAGTTCTTGGTGTGACATCGAATATCATTAAAAAAAAAATATTAAAAAAGTAACCTAATTTAAAGAAAGTTAAGATTATAAAAAAATATTTTTGTAAAAAAACCCATTAGCAAATACTATTGTTGCACTTTTACAAATGGCGGTTTAAATAAAAGAAAAATAAGAAGAAAAAAAAATAGAAAACGAAACGAAAGCGGAAATATGTTAACTTATTATTTTCTTTTTTAATAAAAGAATAGATTATTTAGTAGATAATTTTCTAACTTTTTTCGATTAAATAGGTATATATATAATATAAAATAAAAGAGATAAAATAAAATAATAAAAAAAAATTATAGAAAAAAAATATATATATATATATACATATATATATATATATATATATATATATATTTTTACAAATATATATATATATAAAATAAATTTTAATTATATAATAATAATATTAATATTAAAATAAAATTTGTATACTTATATATAATATAATAAATATATATATTATTATTATTATTAATATATATAATGATATAATTATTATATTAATATAATAATTACAATTCAATTTTTTATTATAAAAAAAATAGGAAATTAAAATAAATTAAATGGCTTTGTATCAATTGAATAATAAAAAAACATATATAAATGTGTTTTTTTGATAATTTTAATATTTAAAAAATTTTACCTGACATATTTAAAACAGGTGTATAAAAAATTGATAATAAATATTAATCTATAAATATTTAAAAAAACAATATATTTTTAAAAATAATTTAATTTTGTTTTAAATAAACTAAATATGGAATATATAATAAAATATAATTTTAAGATTTTACAGGCAATTAATTTCCTGATTTAGATAATATATTATAAAAAAAAAACAATAACACAAAGGTATTATAATATATATATATATATATATATTTTTAATTTTTTGATTTTATTTCTTTTATTTTATTTTTATCTATTTTTTTTCATATTTTTTTATTATTAATTTATTTCATTTTTTATTTATTTAATTTAATATAATTTTCATATTATTTTAATACATATTCTATTTTTTTATTATATTATAGTCTAAAAACTTTATATTGCCATCATTATTTATGATTTTTTATTTAACAAACGATAATAAACTTGAAGAAATTTTACTTGAAATAATACTTAAACTATTTTCTTAATAAAAAATATTTATTTAAAATCTCAAAACAATCTAAGTTTTATTCGATAAATCTGAAATTCATCCTTATAAAGTAAAAAAATAAATTAATTTTAATATAATAAAAAAAAGCTATTATAAAATCGTATATTAAATCTCAAAAATTTCTCTGAAAATTTGTTTTGGCTAACAAAACTTGATTTTCAAGAAATCCAATAAACGCTTAACGACATCCATATGCTTTTTTTTAACAATTCTATAGTATAAAAAAATCAAGATAATAAATAAATAATAATAATTCCATCAGACTTTTATCAAAATTACATAATAAAATATACCACATCATAATATAGTTTTACTAGTTATTAGACTTATATGTAATTCCTAGATCTTTATTTTACATAAATTGACAAAAATCGTTAAAAAACATTTTCTTTTTAAGAAGGCCATATCCCAATTATAAACTTAATAAAATAATGCTAAAATCATCTCACAAAATACTTAAAATAACAATAAAATATTAATAATTCTTTAAATATATAATCTTTATAAACTAAATAAATATAAATATTAGTTCTTTTAAGAACGCTTTATTAAATTTTGATTTGCTTTGCTGTACATAACGAGGAAAACTAATAAATTCTATAAAAATAAATTCCACTTTTTATGGATGAAATAGCCTTTGATTTTGGCTAAATAGACCTCTTGACTTCTATATATATTAATAATAAATTACTATGCGAGAGTTTCAGTGAAACCAATTTTAAATAAGTCCAAAACTCAATAAATGAATACGGAAGACAACCTCGTTTTCTACAAATACTAAGTATAATTTAAAAAATTAAAATTTAAGAACAAAAAAAGGATTATTTTTTAACCGAAAACTAAATAAAAATCTTCAATTGGCTCCTTCCAAATCAATTTACTGAAAAAGAAGAATATAAAAAATACGATAAACTACTTTTCGGATAAACCGAATACAAAAAGCTATGCTTAAGGTTTGATCTTTCACTAGAATTAGAATTTTATAAAAATTCCTAAAATATAATCTTGAGTAATTTCTTGAAAAAAAGCACCTAAAATTTTAATTTTTAAATAGACATTCCTTTCCAATATCATGCTGTTTTAGTTGATCTTTTTCTATTATCTATATAAGGAGAGGAAGGTTTTTCTATTAATGTTTAAAAGATTAAAAATGTTTTCCCTTTAGACTATGTTTTTTCTATTTTATGTGAAAAAGATGATTTATTAAATACACATAATGAAGAAGAAATATCATAAAAAAATATGCTTTAAAATAATTAGTATTCTATTTTTTATGAAGATATATAATAAAATGAAGAAAATATTAATAATAATAGTTTTTAATTATTTTGTTCTTAATAATTACCATTTTATTTTTATTCTCGGATCTAAAAAATTACTAATAAAAATTAAGGTTTTTCGGTTCTGAAACCTAAAATTTTAGATTTAGTTACTAAAACATATTTTAATAAAAATCTTCCAATGATTGAAAGTATAACAAAATATAAGGAAATTCTAATTAAATTTCTTAAACAGGAAATAGAGAGATTTATTTTATTTTTTAAAAAAAACGCAACTTTACCTTCTTTATACTCTCAATTTTTCTTCAATTATTTTCTCCCTTTTTCCTAATCTTACCTCTTATATATTATAAATAAAGAAGCTCCTTTACAAGAAGATAAAATATAACGAGAAGATTTCATTCTTCTAGAAACCTTGGCCATTACTATTACATAATAAGTACATAATGACTACTTTTAATAAATATCATCTTTCATTTCATTAATAAATCCTTCTCTTAACTTTTAAATATAAAATAACTAAAACACATCTCTCTAAAAGCCTTATAATTTTTTCTCTAATATAAAAGAAATCCTCCCTGAAGAAATAACTAAAATTTACCAGATCCAACCAGTTGAAGTAACTAAAAATAAAAATAAAAAAAATAAAAAAAAAAATAGTACCTTAACGATATTTCTTCCAAAATAAATTATAAAACCTGGCTATCATCCCAAAACTACTAAATACTAATAGAATAATTAAGACTCTCTTCCTAAATAAAACTAATATAAAAATCCGAAACGCAAAAACTTGCTGAATCCATAAAGGAAATCGAAGATCTCTTTGAAAATAAAATTCTTTTTAAAAATTTCATCCAGAAAATCATATAATACCTTTCTTAATCTCTAAAAAACAACACTAAAATTTCCACAATGATCTTCTATATAAAAATAATTTAAAAAATATTAAATATATCGTAAAAAGAATCCAAATTATTTGATATGTAAAACCTCCTAGATACACTAGAAACCACTAAAATGGCATTAAATCTCCTTTGTGATATAAAATAAGGCTTTATGGAACATAAACTGGTCTTATAATTGATGAAATTAATGCTAAAAATGTTAAAAGGGGCTAATTTGAAGGTTTAAATGAGTTTTTTTGCTTTCTTTACTAATTATATTAAAAGTGAATCCTTTTTTAGTATCTTTCATAATACGATTTTTCGAGAAATTGAGAAAATTAAATAATTATAAGAAGGTGAAGAAAACGAGGATAAAAATAGGAAAAAAAATAATTAATAAATAAAAAAAAAACAAAAAGTCGAAGAAATAAATCTCATTTTATTGCTTATTTAAAATCTATGTCAAGGACATAATTTAAATCTATAAAATTACTTCAGAAATTAAACTAATAGTAGAAATTCTTACGATATAATAGGTCTTTTGATTGAATTATTAGACTTTTTAACCTTAAATAGTGTATAAATATTTTTTTAAAAGGCTATTTTATGTCTAGATACATTAATTATGTTAGTATAAGGGCCTTGCAATTAAAATTAAGAAAAGATTATTGATTCTAAGTTCTTAGATATTGCTTAAAGAATTTTAAAAGTTAATAAATAAATACTTAAAAAAAGTTCTTAAAATAATGACATAAATAATATTAATATAAAAAATACTAATAATTTTAAAGATGTAAATATTTATTTAAATAATAATTAAAATAATATATTGAACGAAAAAATGCATATTTGGTAATAAGAAAAAATAAAATATAAAATAATGGTTTTAATAAACTCTCTTTTAGAATGTAATTCAGGTGATTTAGTTATAAAAAGAATTATGAGAACTCTCCCTTTAGCAACACTTAAGAATAATATTTCGCTTATTTATAAAAGATATACAGAATAATATGGAAATACTTATGCAATTGAAAGTTTAGGTCATGTAAAATCTATATATATAAATATATATATATATATATATATATATATATATATATATATATATTATATATATATTATTTTTTTTTATTTATTTATTAAAAAAGTATTTATAAGAACCTCAGTAAAAAGCATAATTTTAATTACCTTATTTTTAACTTATTAGTGAAACTGGATTCTATATATTTTTTTTGATTTGTTATTATATTGAATTGCCGTATATATAATTATATTATTTTTTTTATAAATATTAAATAAACTAAAAAGTGATAAATAATCCTAAACTACATCATTCGAATTTGATTTAGATTTAGAAACAAAGTTCGAGTTGAAAGAAATAAAGAAGAATTTTATTGAAAACATAGTAATATTTCATTTTTAAAATAAAAAAATAAAAAAATATTCATAAATATATAAAGAGAATGAATTATTTCTAATAAAGTTTAATTGGATAAATGTGGGAATTTTTTAATGAATTATTTAAAGTTTTTTATAATTATGCTAAAGAAATGTTAATAAAAAATAACAAAAAAACCGAATGCATAGAAACAATGGATGAAGTAATAAATAAATATTTTAAAGAAGCCTTAAAATTCTTCAAAACGAATTCCGCTTCTATCGAAATTATCAAAAACGATTAAATTTAAAAAGTTCGTTTTATAAAACTACCTTATACTCATTATTTAGATAAAGACTAAAAAACTTTATTTTAAAATAAAGTAAAAAGGTTCTCCATATATACTAAATTATAAGGATTAATAGACAGATATAAAAATATAATCATAAAATGTTAACATGAAGAAAAAATAGCTCTTTTTTTCAAAAATAATACTTTTTTTAGTATTTTTGCAAATTATGTAAATTTATGGAGGGATGTGGCTTTTATTTTGACAATTATTTTAAATGTATTTATCTTATTTTCTTATTCAGAAAACAATTTTTCCGAAAAATAAGCTTAAAGCGAAGAAAAATTAAAATAGCAACTATATTTTAACCGAATATACAATCCAAATTTAAAATTAGGTCTAACTAAAATTGTAACAATAAAAAAAACATAATAAATATTCTATTATTTGGGCGGAATAATGATCTTTTGTTCATTATTTGTAGAAATATTTTATATAATAAAGAAAGGTCCTCTATATATGAAATAAGCTTGGTCAAGTTATAAAATATATTTAGAAGCTAAATCAAGTATTTTTATTTTTAATATATATATATATATATATAATAATAATAATGAAAAATAGATATATTTATAAAATTAATAAAATATACTTTAATAATATTACTTTCTCTAATCCGAGTAATAATAAATCCCGAAATATTCTATTATGCTCTATATGGAATTCTAGCTTTTGCAGCAACTTTCATTCATCCATTTTTTTTCTCTTTTCATCTCACAGAAATAATAATAAGGTACTCATCTTTACAAAAAATATTAAAATCAGTATATGAATCTTACAAATAACTTATTTTGACATTTTTCCTAATTCTTTTATTTATTTATTATTCCACATTATTTGCTTTTATTGTTTTTAATGATTCCTTTGATGAAAGATGTAAAGATCTTCATTTATGTTTTTTCTAATGTTTTGATGCTGCATATAAAGATCTAGGTGGTTTAGGTAGTTATTTAGAAAGTGTTAAACCTAAAATTGGTCCAAGTATTAGAAATATATATATTAATTTATATATATAATATAAATAAAAAGATAATAGTTATGAATTTTCAAGACTTGTATTTGAAACTACTTGTTATATTTCTCTTACTATTATTTTACTTAGAGTTATATATGCAATTATTGTAGATAGATTTAGTAATATTAGAGCTAAAGAGAAAAAAAAACTTTCGATATTTAAGAAATATGTTTTATTTGTGGACTTTCTAGGTTTAATTTTATTTTAATAAATAAAAAAAAAAAATTAATAAAAATTTAAATTTAAAGAGAATTGTTTGATAGAAAAAGTCAATAAGGATTTAAATAACATGTTAAAACAGAACATTACTTATGGAATTATATGTTTTATTTAGGTTATATAGATTCTAAAAAATAAGAAGAATACACAGGAATAGAACAATATGTATATGAAAAAGTTTAGTAAAGCGATTTTTCATGGTTTCCAGTTTAAAGAGCTCTTGCATTTTCAAAAGAAGATGCTTAAAAATAAGAAGAAATTAATGAAATTCATGAATTGTAAAATGAAATAGAAAAATTATAAAGTAATTTGTGTAAATTAAATGATTATTCTTACTATATTAATTCTTAAATAGAAAAAGATGAAAATAATTGATTAAATATATTTGTATTTATTATCTTTTTCAAAATATACAAATAAATTACCAATATATATGTATTAAAAAATCTTATATTTTTTTTCAAAACAAAATATATTTAAAAATAAAGTACTATTATAAAATAATTTAATCAGGGATTAAAATAAATATATTTAAAATAAAAATAATAAAAAATATAATACTTTTTTAAAATATAATTATGTTATAAAAAAATAAAGTAATATGAAAAAATTATTTTATATTTATATAATCATAATTTTAATAGAAATGAAAAATCAAAAGAATAAAAAGAGATAAAAAAAAATTATTTGAAAACATATAAAAATGAAAAAAAAATATAAAACTATTAAAAAAAAACAAAATATTTAAAAAAATATAATTAAAATTGTAAAAAATTAAAATATATTTTATATATTTATACATTTATATATTTATATATATTTTATATTTTAAAAATTGTATTTTATTTTTAAATCATTATAAATATATTTATTTTATATTTGTAAAAAATATAAAATATATTAATAATAAATTGATTATAATTTTATTTTTTTTACTTTAAAATGAAAATATTTTATTTATTTTTAGTTTTAATAATTGTATAATTATATTAAAATATTAAATATAAAAAATACAATTTCTTTATTTTATATAAATATTTACTAAATAAATAGTATATATATAATTAATAATTTTTAAAATAATTATATAATATATTAATACAAAATCAAATCATTTTTTTTTTATTTTAAAAATGATTAACAATAATGTATCTCTTATATAAATAATTTATTTAATAGTAAAAAATTATAAATAATTTTATTATATTATAAATAAAATAAAAAAAATGAAATTAAATATTGAAGATCATATTGACGAAATAATAGAAGTATTAAAAGTTCATATATTTCCTTTGATACTAATATTCATTACATTAATAAGTCGAAAATAAATAACACAAACAAAATACGAATCCTTTAGTTTTTACTGGTATCTTTTTAACGGTTCAATATTCCATATGACCTGGAGTGGATTTATTTGCGGACTTCGTTAATGTGAGCCTTTCTTGAGAGTATTTATATTAATGGACTAAAGATATAAAAGTTAAGAAAATATAGTCAAGCTAGTTTCTTATGTTGATCTTTTAGTCACTGGCCCTTTATGTTTATATACTGCGAATTTATTTTTAAGTCAAAGAGGTCTTAAAAGAGATGTTTTCTGTATAATTTCTTCTATTAGTTAAATATTAGGATCAGTTTTTTTTGTTTTTGATGAATTTTTGAATAAATTTGCTAATACTTGCAAAGGAGACTGTTTCTCCTTTACTACTGAGAATATTATTTATTTCTGGATTTTTTTCGTTGCTATGAATCATGTTTGGTTTATTTTACCTTTAGTCCATATTAAAAAATCATTGATAATATTTTATCCCAAGAAAGATGGAAATTTGAAAATTGTGCAATTGAAAATGGCTATGGAGGTAATTATTATGATAACTTTGATTAGTAATATTTATAAGGAGAAAAAAGAAAAAATAAAAAAGAGATTGAATTATTTTTTAATATATAATATATATATAAATTATTTTGAAAAATATCCGAAAAAAAAATAATATTAAATAAAATATCATAAAATAAAAAATATATAAAAAATTGAATTTAAAAATATAAGATATTAAAAAATAATATTTTATTAAAGTTTATAAAAAAATAAAAATATGGAGTAACATTAATAATAATAATTTAAAGAATAACCAATAGACTTAAAATACATTCAATTAGCCGGATAAGGAAGTTCATGCGGATATTGCAATAATAAAACCGGCAGTTATACATACGGATTAACCGCTAAAAAGATGGACGCCGACATATATAAGCATTTAATGGAATTTGGTTGGAGAAGATGTGGAGACTATTTTTATAAACCTGATTTATTTAAAAGCTGTTGTAAATCATACACAATACGTGCGAATATCGAAAAATATTAAATGAAAAAATCTCAAAGAAAGCATTTAAATAAATGGAATAGATTCTTATATGATTAAGAAGATGTAAAAAATTAAAATATTTCTATAGAAAAATCTTAATAGTAATAATAATAATAATAAAAAAACAATTAAATAAATTATAAAGTATAAGATGAAAATTAAATAAAACTTAAATCATAAATTATTCAAATAGCACATTTTCTTCAAAATAATAATTCTTAAATTTCTCAGTCTTTCAATTCTTAAAATATTTTGGATAATTTTAAAGTTCTTCCTGCTAGAAACATGAAAGACTATTTCACTAATTATCTAATGTTACTCTTTTCTAAATAGCCTTAATTACTTAAAGAAAACACTAATTAATTACAATAAATCTTTTAATAAAACATCACTGAATTTTAAGTTTAAATAACACAAAACGGACAAGTTAATTTTACTAAAGAGAATCCAATAGAACATCAAAAAAAAAATCTAGAAAAATAAATTAAGCAAGAAAAAAATGAAACGAAACAAGAAAAAAACCAAATAAAAGAAAAACTAAAAAACGAGGAAAAAACACAAGCCAAAAACGAGGAAAAAGCACAAGCCAAAAACGAGGAAAAAGCACAAGCCAAAAACGAGGAAAAAACACAAGCCAAAAACGAGGAAAAAACACAAACCAAAAACGAGGATAAATTTACATGTAATGAAATACGTAAAGGAAAGCTTTTAATAAAAATATAATTAGCAAAAGCAGATTAAATAAACTTCGAATTATATAAAAAATACTGTAGGGAAATCCATGATAAAAAAAAGGAAGAATTTAATGGATTTGAAAATTTTTTATCTAAACAAACTCTCAATTTTAAAGTAGTCGAAAGTACAATAAATAAAAATGTAAAACTTTTTTTAGGATGTTTTCATATGAATTATTTTATTGACAATAAACTAATAGGTGTTGGGGTTGTAGATATAACTTCTAATGGACTTTCTTCTGTTTATTTCTATTATGAACCTTCTTTTAAAAAATACAATTTAGGTATTATTGCTTCTTTATATGAAATCGAATATATTTAATACATGAAATAATTCTTTCCTTAGTTTAATTATTATTATTTAGGTTTTTATATTTCTAATTGTCAAAAAATGTCTTATAAAGCTTAATTTGGTCCAAATCAATTATTATGTCCTAGTACTTTTTAGTTTGTAGATTATGATGAAAGAGTATAATAATTAATTTCTTAAAAATCAGACGATCCTACACTTTCAGAAAAAAATTCTCCTTTTCATCCGAATTTACTTAAAGTATTTTTATTATTTAATTTTTGTATTTTATTTTTTTGTTAAAATAAGGAAAATATTTAATAGTTTGTGCTATAAAATACTAAATGTAAATTTAAAGGTAAGGTTTTATAATTGAAAGATTTCTTAAAATACTTTAGTCCGATTGTTTATTAAATTATTGAAGGATTAGCTTAAGTTATAGATAAAACTATTTATCCATTTTTAATTTTTGAATATTGATAATAAAAAAAGAAAAATATATATGTTATTTTTTTATTATAACATATATTATTATTTTATATTATAAACTTATTTATAAAAAAAAAAAAAACTAAAAAATAATAAACAAACAAAAAGGAAATATCACATAAAAAGTAATAAATTAAATATTTTATTTTGAAAATATAATATTTATAAATTACAAATATATGTATATATATATATTATTTATTTTGTTTTTCATGAATTGCTTATAGTCTCTTCTTTATCTTCGTTGTTTTCGTCGGAAGCTTAAACATCATCTAAACCCTAATATATAGACATATCTTCTTTTGTAACTTTTGCAAGAATTTACTTTTAATAACAATATATATTTATTATGTTAAAAATATTAATTTTTATTACTGCAATTTCATTATAATTTAATTACGCAGCCTCATCAAAAGCTGTTTTTCCTAAACTGTTTTATATATTTGCATCTACTTTTAAAGTTTCTATTAAATAGGAAACAATTTCTTTTTAATTATTTATTGTAGCCCAATCTATTATTTTATTTTTAAAATAAAAATAAATAATTATACGTAAAGGAGTATTTTAATATTCATTTTTTTAATTTATAAAATTATAAACTTTTTATTTATCTTCCATTTTATCTATATAGTCTTTTATTAATTAAATTATTTATATATTTCCATTTGCACATGCCATATCTATAAAAATAATAAGTAATTTTATTGATGGAATATACAATATAATTGTTATATACGCAATCCGTTATTTATTTAATTATCAAACCAAGTAATATCACACCCATTTTCGATACAAAATTTAGTTTCCTCAATATCACTTTAATATTAATTTTATTAAATAATTAAGTATATTTTTATTTTATATATATATTACTTAAATCTACAACAATCTAAAAAATATTCTTCATAGGAAGCGTAAAATCCCTCTTCTTCTTATTATTAGATTTAATTAAGATTTATTTCAGTTTCCATTTTAATTTTGTTTTGTTTTGTTTAATTTTATATAAATAAATTTAAACCTTTTTTTTTTACTTATTTATTTATATGCTATTTTTTTTATTTTTTTTGGTTTTATAATTTAATAACAAATTCTTTTAAATTATAATAATATTAATTTGAATCTAATTTAAAATCAAATTACTTATTTTTTTTAGAAAAAAAAAATATATATATATATAATTGAAATAAATAAAATGAATAATTAGTAATTAAATAATATGAAAATATATTTCATATAAATGAAAAACCGAAAAAGCCACTAATTCATAGTACTTATAATATTATTTAAACAAAATAAAAAATTATATTTTTTTATTAATTAAAATATATACTTAACTTATAAATATCTATAAATAAATATTTTATTTAAAAAACAAAAAAGTCAATAGATATTTTAGAAAAAAATACATTTTAATAATAAAAATTCATAAAAATATGAAAATATAATCAAATAAATATTTGGTTATCTAGAAATTAATATATAAAATCCTTAATAAAAATTTAAAAAAAATTATATAAAATATTTAATATATTAAAAACTAAATACAATTATTAAATAAAAAATTCAATATTCATAGAATAACATATATAAATAAATTAAAATTTAATACTTTTAAATAAATTTTTAAATAATAATAATAATATAAACTTAAAATCCAAAAAAATAAACTTATAATTATTATATGATAAAATTTAAAAAAATGTAAATAATAAACATATTATAGTAATAATCGCTTTGCTTTATAAATTTTAAATAATATTTTACTATAGAAATATAAAAAGATAAGACAAAATTTTATTATAAATATACTAAATAATTATTATTTATTTTTTAAAAAAGAGCGAAATTATATTAAATAAATAAAAAAATGAATTAAAAAAATAAGAACTTAAAAAATAATAAGTAAAAATAAAAATTATAAAAAATAAGAAATTTTATCAAAACTAAGATATATATACCGTATTAATATGCTGTAATTTAAAAATAATAGAGATAAAAATAAAATTAAAAAATAACAAACAATAAGCCAGAAGCAACAGGAAAAAAAATGCTAGCATCTGAGAAAACGATAATTAAGTTATAATAATTTAGTTAAAAATAAATTAAAGAATAATTATTTATTTATAATATATTATTAATATAAATAAACTTAATAATTTAAAAGGTTATATGAAATTTAAAATAAAATAATTAATATATATTTATAAATATAATAAATACTAATTTAATATTAAACTAAGAAAAAAATTAAATATTTTAAAAAAATAAATGAATATGTTAAAGCTAATAAAATAAATAAAAAATCAAATTTTATAATATAAATATAAAAAAAAAATACTAAGAAAAAATAAATGAACTAATAAAATAATATAATAATAAAAATCTTAAAGATAAAAAAAATATAAAAGAAAAAAAATAAAAATAGTAAAAACTATAATCAAAAAAAAAAATAATTATAATATATTCTCAAAAAAAAAATAATCTTAAATAAAAAAAATTTAAAATATAATTATAATTAAATGAAGATAAAAAAAAAGTAGTTGTATAAATATATATATATAAAA